AATCCCGAATTAATGACCGAAGTAGAAGAGAAAATTCACTTAGTCTTGGATTTGAGATTTTAACTTTTTGGTTTCTTTTCAATTGTGATAAATTCTTTTTTTCAAACCTAATTGTTCCAACCTTTTTCAAATTCCGTTTCTCTCTCTAACTCAGCAATATCCATCTTTACTGGGTTAAAAGACGAGTATGCTTTCACCTCGACCTGTATCGTCTCGGCCTATTACAACATTATTTAGTTAGAAGGTAGAGGGAATTTTCGTGTTACTAAAAAAGTATGACAAGACGAGACGAGCCATGCTAAATAGATTTATTTTTTCAAAGCCAAAGTGATATGTAAAGCCTGTTCAACTTTCTCCATCATTTCTAGGTCTAATTCTCCTAATTTATCGTCAAGCCTTTTTCGGTCAATGGTTCTAATTTGGTCGACGAGAATTACACCACCACGGCCTTTTAATTTACTTTCTACTTGAAAAGGGTAAATCTTGTCTACTTGGCTGGTTAAAGGTATAATTGTAATTAACGGACTGAATTTGTTTTGCTCGTCATTTGAGATCACTAGTCCAGGGTGTCGGCCTTGGAGTTCACGAATGTTTTCTTTTTCTGATTTACTGAATAAAGGCAAGTTTACTCAGTAAATTTCTCCACGGATAATGCTATTTTTTAGTGCTTGATTTCTTAATAACATTTTTATTCTTTTCGTAAGTTATTCAGTCCTCAGTTTCGGCTCTTTCTCATAACTCGGCTTCTTTTAGTAAATGGGGATTGTTAGCGTAGCATTCCTTATAGGCTCATCCGAGACAGTTTTTTTCGTGCTTTAATCTTTCCTCTACCGTTTCCTTGATAAAAGTGCTGATTTTTCCTTTACCGACTTTTTTTAGTAGTTCTTGGTATAATTCGACTGGTAAATGAATGCTGAATGTTTGGCGTAGTTGCATAATATTATAATTTTAATGTTCTAATGTTCCAAACTTTAAATTTTGGTAATTATATTTCTGGACGTATAGACTTATAGATTAGTAATTAAGTTGAGTAAAGCTTCGTCATAGTCAGCAAAAATATTTTCTTTGCTTTTAATGCGTATGTCCCGACATACTAAAATATAATAATATGGTAGGACGCAACATGAATGTTTACTTTCAAGAGGAAACATATAGTAAAATAAAAAATTTAGTCTCTAAAAGAGAGATTAGTCGTTTCATAAATGAGGCAGTGGAGGAAAAGTTGCAACAAAGGCAGCAACAAAAAAAGGAGGAATTGCGGCAAAAATTAATTGCGGGTTATAAATCTAACGCTAGGAATGAGAAATTGAAGAAAGAATTGCAAGGTTTGGAAGAAGCCTCGCTGGAAGACGTGTTTACTAAATTAGATAAAGCAGAGAAAAAAGATGAGTAAAATTGAGAAATTACCTAAAAAAGGAGAAATTTGGTTAGTGAATAATCCCGGACGAATTAAAGAGTTAGGGAAAGATCAACGCCCAGTTTTAATAATTAGCAATGATGAGCAGAATGAGTATGATGACAAGACAGTAGCGGTTCCATTGACTACTGATAATGTTGAGAAAATTGAGTTGTTTGAGGTTTTTATTAAGAATACCCCCGAAACTGGTTTGGATTGTCCCAGCAAGATTTTGCTTAATTATCCTTTTACGCTAGATAAGGAGTTGCGATTGGTGAAGAAACTAGGAGTAGCCGGCAAAGAAATAATGGATAAAGTGAAAAAGGCTTGGGGATTTGCTTTTGTGTGAGATTAAGTTATAAATTTTCTTTCTTAATTATTCTTGGGTGGAATTTGGATTTGGGCTTGTTGTTCAATTTGCTTATTTAGTAAAAATTGATTCTCTGAATTAATTAAGTGAGGAAGCAACAAAGAATCAGAGTCGGCATTATAATACTGCTCATTGATTTTTTGAGAATTTTGTAATTGTTTAATGATGTCTTCAGTGTCTATAAATCTACTAGTGTAAACTGCTTGGGAATGAACGTTTCGAGGAAGAGGGGTCGTTCTTTTACTTTTTTCATCTTCTCATTTCTTAACTACTTCCCAACCATTAGCTTCAAGAAATTCATTGTATCATAAATGTGCGTATTCTCGTTGTTTCACTTTCTCTTCCGCTTTAGAAAAAACTAGGTTTCAGTCTTCCCAATTCCTTTCGCTACTCTCGTCTGATTTTACTCAGTCCTTAAAGTCACTAAATTCTTCTGCGGCTAATTCTTGATATTGTTGATAGAATTCTTTTGTGTGCGTACTAGTGTTGTTTTTTCCTTCTTTTGTGTTAAATGCTCCATACCAGTTGCCCAAAATTTTACTTAACTCCGTTGCGGTTGGTCGTTGAGTGGGATTAGTATCTCAACACCGGCCAACCAAGTGCTTCAACAACTGGGGCAGCGAGAAGCTATCTAAATTTGGTCTTAGTCCTTGGTAGATTTTTAGTGCTAAAGTAATATCATGAGCTACGTCGTGATAAGGAGCTAAACCAGTTAATACTTCATACATAATCATGCCAAAGCTATAAACATCCGCAGCTGGAGTGTACGAACCACCAATTAAAACTTCCGGAGCTACATAAGGTAACACCCCGAATACTTTTGTATTATCCTGTTCGGCAGCAGGCCGGCACAAGCCTAAGTCGGTAATGCAAAAAGCACTTCCGTTTACTAATATGTTACCTGAGTGGAAATCTTGATGGACTAATCCTTGTTTATGAATAGAACTTAATCCGCATATAATAGTTGACAATTGATTAAGTTTAAGACTAAAACTTATTCTATTGTAATTGCTCTGCAGACTTTGTCTTAGGCTACCGTTGTTGATATATTTCATCACTATAACACAATCATTAGTACTAGAACTCCGCGATATACCATAACATCGCACAACTTGACTACTAATATCATTGAATAGTTTATAGTAGGTAATTTCTTGCAAAAACTCTTTCGTGATGTTTTGCGAATCGTGTAAACTTTTTAAAACCACTTTTTGAACGCTTTGCCCATCAGCAATATGCCTGTGCCATTTATTACCCTTAATATCTCAATGTTTAACCGGACCACTGATTCATTTCGCTTTGTAAACTGAGCTAAAACCACCCTCAGCAAGATGCTCAACCTCAATGAATTCGTTATAAGGTATTCATTCTAGTAGCTTCTCGGGCCGAGTTGCTTTTAGCTGAAATTCTTGAATACATTCGTCAACATTTCGATTACCGCTAGTTCAATTTTCGAAGTCTTGTTGAAAATGTCGCGAATTACAAGATCAGCATCAATTAGAACTAGTATTGGGTTGCCAACATTCTTCACACAATCTATATCTAATATATTTATTTCTTAATGAGGGATTAGGGATCATTTTCTCTATTAAGGACTGTTGCTCTTTAGTCAAATCCCAGTATTTTGGCAGATTTTTTATTTGTTCAATTACCTCAATACTAAGTCTAAAATAAGAATCTTTTAATTCGTTTGTCTCATTAGTTAATTGCTCTACTGTTGCCGATTTACTCATTATCGCTATTTCTAAGTTTCTTAATTTAAATCAACTAAAAAAGACTTGTCAATTTAGCAGAAATTTCCAGTAATTAACATTGTGCAAATCTACGTACTGTAAATATAAAGATTGCAGATTCTCCTTTGCTTGTTGCAGTTCTTGACTTTTGGAAATCAAAACTACTTCTTTTTGCAAATATTCCAAATATTCTGCTTTCAATTTTTCATGTTTGCTAAGGTTTATTTTTCATTCTCATGGTTCAAAATTCATGACCTTTCCAAGCCAGACGCAAAAATCACAGTCCTGCGGCTTCAGACCTGCATCTATTCATTCTTCGCAAAATTCATAATTGAAACCCTTGCTTTTTCATTCTTTTTGTAATTCTTCATTGAAATCCGGATGAATAATTTGCCAATCAGTCATAATACTCATTATTGAGAAAAGAAAAAAGAGAAATTTGTAGTAAAAGAAACTAGGGGGCGGACATTTTTCACACTTTTTTTTTGTTTAGTAATAAATTTTTTTACCGGAACGAAAACCCGAGAGCCACAGCACTTTTGGGAGAGAGTTAATTTTTCAAAAGAGAAAGTAATCAAACAACTATTTTCTGTTTTGGGAAATTTCTCTCATTGTTCCCACTGCTCCGGAAAATAAACTCCGGAACAGCGAGAGAGTTAATACAGCATTCATGCTGGGTTTGTTAGAAATTAATTCGGTTGCGAATTAACTAGAACCCAGGGAAACACTGTATTTAAAATGCCTTTGTTTGTGTGCAACTACCACAACAAACGCTATCGGACTGCGTGAGCCGACAGGAGGACACCTAGTGAATGTTGACTCACTAAATGAGAACCACCATAGGGGATTATCAAGTATATATTCTTTATTTTAGTTCCGAAGCTGAGCGAGGGGGAAAGAAAGGCATTTTTTCGTCTGTCTTTACACCATTTAATTACTCTGTAATTAAAAAATATATGTTAATCTCGTTTTTTTGCCCTCGTGTGCGTAAAGAATATCAAATAGATAAGATAATTAGAGTTAGAAAAAAACAAGAAACGCTTGCTTAGAAAAGATTAGAGAAATTTGGGTGCGGGTGATTGCGAATGAGGAGTTTCCTGGCTTTTTGGCTACTTGATAGTTTTTTGGGAAGTCAAAAGAAACGGGGCGGCTCGTGGTTGGATTGGTTTTTTTCTTTTGCTGGAAACGGGTTGGTTCGGGTTTTTGCGAAAAAAAGATTATTAGTAAATGAAGGCGAACCGAGTTTTTTCATTTCTAATTATTAGCAAAAAATTATCTGTTTGGTTTTCTAAAAGAAAAAAAATTGTATAATATATAATAAAAATAAAAAAAGTAAATATTATGAAAATAGCCAAATTATTAATCTTGCCCCTAGTGTTGGTGGGTTTAATGTTAACAAACAATAATTTTAATAACCGAGTGGAGGCAATGGGAAACAAACAAGCTTGTATCGACGAATGTGTTAGGATTCACACTGACGCAGCAAAAGCTTGCTGTGCAGTAGCACCTTATAATCCTATTGCGTTTGCGGGTTGTATGCTTCTTGCTGGTGGTTCTCTTACTGCATGTTTAGGACTTTGTGGTGCTATACTTGGTGGCAGTTAATGTTTAAAATATCATTTTGGCTTCAAAATTCAAGCACCAATCAAGGAAATTTAGAGTATATAACTATTGGCAATCCAAAAATAGTTAAAGTTGAAAATGACATGCGGGATAGCCGTTATGCTTGTGAACTCTATTTGTCTGATATAAAATATAATTATCCTCCGATTTATGGAACTAATCCCATTGATACTCTTGTTTTGTCATTGGAGCTTGCGAAAATTCATTTACAAGGACTTATTGTCGCTGGTTATACCATTAGCGAATTAGAAAGCCGTAAATTTTGGAAATTAGAAAAAGGAAAATCTTTATCAGAGCGAATAAACGAATTAAAAAATAATAAGGATATTTCCCAAGATTATAAAGATAAGATATTAATGATTATGAAAGAGAACTTTGGCAAAATACCGGGTATGAAAGACCAGTTATATAAAACAGTTATATAAGATTTAAACAAAACAAAAAATATGAAACTAACAATAATTTTTCTTGGGCTATTGCTCATTGCAAATAAGAATGGAGGTGGGGTGCTGAACAATAAAAAAGCAGCATGAAATTTGCCAGTAAAAAATGTTGAAGTGGTAGAAAATAGTGCTTTTAATACATTAGCAACAAAAAATTTCAGCGGATTATCTATCCAAGAAAATGATAGGATTTTCAAGGGAGAAGGTTTCGTTTCTATATCTATGTCAGAAAAAATAAAAATTTCCGCAAAACCAATCGTTACTCCGAATGGTTGTGAGGAAATATATGCGGCTGCAATGAGTGCTTGTTATACTATAGCTTGAAATCCTCCTGTGTTTGCTATTTGTGCTGCTGCTGCTACGGCTGCTTATGCTGCGTGTTTGGCGGCGGGTCGTTAATAAAGTGAGGAGGTTTTTCGTGAATTCTGGTTCTCTCTCCCTTCGCCCATTGCGTAATCTCTTCCTCAAAACTCCTCTTTTCCTGCTTTTCTCCTTACTACACAAGCTCAAATCGCAAAAAAATCGCCTCCGGGGACAATAGGCGGAAAATCTTTATTAAAACCTATCACTTTCCTCTTTCTCAATAAAATATAAGTATAAAGATTTTTACCTAGTCAAAGATAAATAAAAGTTCTGAGAAAAACCCTGTTTAAGAGGGGTTTCATTTCTCCTATTTTTATCCTAAACAGCCAGAAGACTCCCACTTCCATAAGTGGGGGATGAATGGCCAACGCAACTTCTTAACTAATTCAGTAT